ATTGTTCAATATATTGAAGAGGAAAAGTTGCAGGAAGTTGCCGAGTTACTATTCAACGATGCCATGGAGGATTTTGAGAAGGACGAAGAGTTGATGAATAAGTATGAAGAATTACCTGAAAAACAAAAGGATATTATTAAAGCTAGAGGGAAATCCGCGGCTTCTAAAGTTGCCAGGGAATACGCCTTGAATGTCTATAAAGTTGATATCAAAAAACCCTCTCATTCGATTCTTGACGCCGATGAAATTATAGACACAACTACGTAATCACTAAGCGTACGGGAAAAATTCAAGTTTGAAAGAAACATATACATTTCTCTAAAGTCATTGAAATTATTGCTTAGTATATTGAAATTTTTGATTAGATACAATATATAGTTAATAAATTTCTTATTTAATAAAACCATTTACCGTATATTATTAATTAATACATGTACAGTTGATACTAAAGTAATTATATGAAAAAAATTTTAAAATATACAATTAAAATACTCAACCAGACTTAAAGCTAATGCCAAAGGTATGAATACCTAGCTTTCAGGTTATATATAATAAAAAAGATTCTTGTCAATCGAATTTTTTGATCTTTCAGAATTTAAAAGCTCCATATTCTTATTCTTATATTCTTATTATATAAATTTTACAGATTTTAATTATAAATTTTTCATGTTATTTAAAAAGCCATTTATTTTTTCATATCCTTTTATGTTAAAAATTTCATTTTTTATTATTCAATATTTGACAAGTAATTGAAAATTTTTTGTTTTATTATTAATTTTATTGTTTATATTTGTTAATAATTGATCTATAAATTAAGAAATAATACTTGAAAATTTTATTTTTAAATTAAATTATAAAATTTTTTTCAAAAAACATTATATGTAAAATCTATATTATTATATTTTTTAATTTTTATATAATAGTTTTTAAATAATAAAGAAATTAAAAAATTTATAATATATTTTATATAATATATTTTTTTAAGATAATTGTCATATACAATGTTGGCAATAAAAACTGAGAATTTTTTTATTAAATTATTATTAATATTAATTAAAATAAATTTATAAATACTTTAATATAATAATAATACTTTTTTAATATCAATATAATTATATATGATTTTATTTAAATTTATTATTTTTACATTTAATTTTTTTGTCAAGTTCAAATATTAAAAAGTTTATATATTTAAAATTTTATTAAACCAACTTTATAAAAAAATTTTATAATTCTATAAACTTACAAAAAAAAAAAATAAACAAATAATTTTAGTTATATGTATAATAATAATAAAAACAATAATTAATTATATTTTACAATATAATAAAATTTTAATTAAAAAATATAACTTATTTTTATAAATATATTTATAAAAAAATTTTTTTTTTTGTTAATTATAAATTAAAATTTTAAATTATATTATAATTTAAAAAAAGTTATAAATCAATTAAATCATATGTTATAATTTTTTAATTAATATTTTCAATATTTAAAATTATTATTATATTAGAATATTTACAGTATATATAATTAAATAACCATATAAATTTTTTATTATATAAGATCAAAAAATTCAAAAAACATTTTAAAAAATTATTTTATTTTTAATTTTTAATTTTATAAAGTTATAAAGTTTTTTAATATCATTTTGATTTAAATAATTAGTCGGGTTTTTAATTTACTGACTTTTTAATATTTGAACTTGATAAAAAATATTACCAAAAAAAAAATTAAATTAAATTATATGTAATTCTATTAATATTAAAAAAATATTCCAATAAATTTATTTTTAATTAATATTATTATTAATTTAATAAAAAAAATTTTCATTAAGACTGAAAAACCAAAACTTGCCTTTGATTTAATAATATTATAAGAATATATTATAACAAATTGAAGGATTTTTTTTTGTTTAATTTATTAACTTTTAATCTTATACATACATATAATATGGCGTGATGTAAGACTTATTGATACTATGCGTGTATAAATCTTCCCATGAATTATTGCGTTAGATCCTTTGATATAAAATAGATAGTTTTCACGTAAATTGGATCAACTTATCTTTTCTCCCTATGCCTAGAAAATCCCTACTTTAAAAGACCTTATTTTTCCTTTTCCTTTTCTTAGGCTAAAAAGAACCTCTTTGTTGAGTTTATGATGTCTGCTGATTCCAACAAGGAATTAGTCGTGTTTTGAGAAGTGATCGGTTTCAAGAAACGACACATAGGCAAGTGGCATTATAACGTTGTATTTCCAGGTTTGTCGTGACTATTGATGTGGCTTGAACTTGTTATAAAAGTATCATGAGACTTTTGCAATCAAGAACACGTTTTACTTCTAGTCGGTATACAACTTTGGTACACTGTCTATGCATTGCGAAAAAGTCGAAATGTTATTCTATTTTATTTTTTATTATTTTATTCCACTCGTCATTCCCTATCCTATTGTTTTCATTTTATTTTGTCAACCCTGTGATGTCCACTGATTCTGAGTGGTGGAGTTGGTATATTTCGTATGTGCAACATGAGAGATTCAGTTTTTTAAGCCATGCGCGATGACATTATAGAGCAAGCGATGTATAGTACTGTCTTCTTGAGTTTGTCGTGAATAGTAGAAGTTGGATTTGTCGGCAATTATTTATATAATCAAAGTTTGTGCAAAGTGTTATGGAACTTTGTAACTAGACGGTTAAAGGAACTGCACTGAAGAGAACATAACTACTTTAAATATCTCGATCCAAAAATCTATTACTTCTAGTCTGCAAACAGCTCTACAAGGGGATCTCTTCTATAGCTAGTGGAAAGAGTTGAGGATTTTATATTTAGATTTATGAACATTAAATGATTAATTATTATTTTTTTAACGTCAAACGATCCAAGGAACACCATCGCAGCCTGAACAACTTACCATCCGGTTCTTCGACTATCATTCTAGGTAGAACTATAATTAAATATCTTGATCCGAAAGTCCATTACCTCTAGTCGGTATACAAATAAATGGAGATCTGTCTAAATTTTTTTGAGGATAGGGAGATTAGATGGTGATAAGATGCTCGAATTCAAAGGTAAATTGTTATCTTTTGAAAGGAGTCGCCAAATCCCGTATTATTCGATAGAATAAAAAGGATTTATTTTGTACATATAATTATCTATATTTGTGAATATTTATTTATTATATTTGATTTATTATACCTTTAATAAAATTTTATTATGTAATTATAAATTAAATCTAGAAACTAATAAAGATATTTTTGATTAAAGAAAAATAAAATTTATGAAGTGTTATTATCAATAATTACTAAATTTACAAGTTTGAAAAGTTGGAATATAATTTAATGGTTCATCATGCATCTTTTTGGTGAGATAGCATTCTTTTCTGTCTATCTGTTTTTCTGATGTTGGCAGCTCCAATCGTTCTTCTCAGTTTTGTTATTCAATTGAGAGGAACACACTGGTATCTCATGTTTATTACTGAAGTTAGAATTACTACGCGTCTCCCTTGTTATTCCTCTATCTTCCTCAAAGGATATAAGTTATTTCTTCTCATATTTATATATCTTTCCTTTCTCACACAGACTTCTATTGTACAAAACATTTTTGTCATCTATATCATAAGATTCTTGACTATCAATTTTATTAGTATCTTTTCACTACACGTTTTTTGAAACCTCTGAAATTTATAGGCATATACTAACACTTTCATTATCCTTATATTTCAGACTGGACAAATTCACTCACCATTGATATTGTTTGGAGGACACGATACAAAATAATACAGAAAGGCCAGTACGAAACTTTCTTTGATTATGTTCATCATACCGAAAGGTGAGACATACTTGGTGATATTTATACCATTCTGTCATGGTACCTCCCAAATAGTTACTTACCATTCTTAGTTTTTTCTTGTCTGTCCATTTGTTATTTTTGGCAGGTTTTTTGTAGTGCTCTAGCCATAAATGTAGTTCTTTTCTTTAAATCTGTACGGCTCAACCTAGTGAATATCTTTTTCTTCTCTCTTTTTTTTTGTTTTCATCCTTGTCCCAAATCTAAATTGGTAAAGACATTCACTAACTTTTGTAAGATGATCTATTGTTTTAGTTAAACAATGGTTTTATTCATTCTTTAGTGCTATTTTCTCTCTACTTGTTATTATATCTCTTGTGCAGTTCTACTGTCTACTAATATAACGTCACGTCATGCACAACCTTCCAGATTATTTTATTTTGACATTAGGTGACATTGCGTCTTGACTTCTCCTCATCCATCATTATTTTACCCATAACAATATTTAATAGAAATAATACATGTATAATTAATTTTTTATTGTTATAATTAATTTGACTAATAAAGTTCTTTATATTATAAATAATATTTAAATTTTCCAATGTGGTGTCCATAAAATGCCACTGTTTTTATTTTATGAAATTTATTACTACAAACAAATCTAGTGGTTGGATTTTTGACATTTTTATTAAAATCAAAAAATAAAAAGGTTTAAAGGTAATAACAACACCATATAATTTATTATAATTATTTACTATAATTAATGAAATTATGAATAAATATAAAAAATTGATTGATGTAATTAATTTTACAACTTTAAAAATCATCTTAACAGTAATACAACTAATTAACAATTTTTATTTAATTTAAAAAAATTAAATCATCATTGTTTCTTTTACTAAATTTTGAATTGAACAATTAAATATTTGATAAATACAAAAACAATATTTTTGTTAATTTTGTAAAATTAGTACAGTATACGTATTTTGTTTTATTGATTTTGCATTGATCATCGATTTTGTGTCACTTTAGAGTCAAATATTAATGTCGTCATTACTTGCTATTCTCGGTGAGATTTTGAGATTTCTATCCTCGATGCCTTTCGGACAGGTAGTCAGAACAAAAGAACAAATTTCTTAACAACTTTATGATGATTTACACCGATTTCTTATTTTATACCTTGTAGATTGTTATCGGTCCTCCTGGATCCGGAAAAACTACGTATTGTAATGGCATACAACAATTTCTTAATGGAATTGGAAGGTAATAAATTCTCATGTGTTCAGCTGTTTCCATTCATTCGAAATTCAAGATTAACAAAAATATTTTGTAGAAAAGTTTCAATAGTAAATCTTGATCCGGCAAATGACTTTTTGCCATACCAAAGCGCAATAAACATAACGGACCTAATTGTTCTACAAGACGCAATGGAAGAATTAAGATTGGGACCAAACGGAGGAATGATGTATTGCATGGAATTCTTGGA